CATCCGCCCCACAACCACAGGAACTGGGACCTGGGGCTAGGGTCTGCCTGGGGCCTGTGCGTGTGCAATGCAAATTGCCAAAGGAAATTTATTCCTGAACTACTGAATGCGAATTTTCCAGAGAGCGCCAAAAGTTAACCAAATATGTCAATTGAATGCTTTGTGTATGCGTGGCAAGAGGATGCCGTTGCCGTTGCCGATGCCGATGCCAAGCCCAAGCCCAATGCCTTGGCAAACAAACGAACAAACAAAGCGCAGGACCAGGACCCAACTAACCAAAGCGGAGCTTGTAGGTTAAAAAGCAATTTATCTTTGACTTTAGCCAAGTAAATTCCCGCCATTGTCTAAAGTGGTTTGGTTGGCCCCTGGACAGGCAGCTAGCCTTCCGCCTGCCACATGTGTGTGCTGCTGAGTTTTTGGCTTAAAACTTGGCCCAAAGATGTGTGTGAGTCTTGGGCTTAGAACTTGGTTGGTTGGTTGGCTGTGTGTGTGTGTGTGTGTGTGTGTGCACACTTCTAACTAGTTTTCCATTTCGGGGTATTTGCAACCACTCAATTACACTGCAAACCACAGACATTCAATTGAGCAAAGCAGCTGCTGCCGCTGCTACCTTTTATTCGGTTGTGGAGGGAACCCTGTCCTGGCCCGGCCTGGCAAAAGGCAAACAATGCTAGCCGAAATGGAGAAATTATAGCTCTGTGGCGGGCAGCAGGCAGCAAGCCGGCAACTGCATTGCAACTGCCTGTGGGGACGACTTTTCAATAAATTCTCGAACCGGTGGCATTTGAAAATTTGATCAGAGCAGCACGTAAAACTATTTGAACTGCTAACCCAAATAAGCTCAGGCATTCATGCCACCGCCACAGCAGTCACAGCAGAGGAGCAGCAGAGGAGCAGCAGCAGCTGCTGTAGCATGCCACTACGCCAATGAACTGTACGAGTAGTGCTGCAATCAATAGAAGCGATTCAAGTTGCAGCAGCAGCAGCAGCAACAGCAACACGAGCTACAAGATACTTTCTGTGCAACCATAGAACTACCCACATGCCTGCCCCTCCACCCCCCTCCAGGCCACTCCACATCGCTAGTGGAGTCTGTGGAATGCCATGGAATGTGCACACGCATCTTCGACTGCCATACGATCTGCACATCTCTAAGCATCTTTCCGCAGACTTGTGGTGGGTGTCCCCCCCAGCCCCCCCCACACACTTTCTATGGCTGCTGCAACTTGCTTTCCCTCTCCCCCCTCTCTCTCTCTCTCTCTCTGTGTGTGTGTGTGGTTGGGGGGGCATGTAGCAGGAGCTTACATTTATGCGCGAAATTGTCGTATGCATTTGCACATTCATAAATTCTCGTTGAGCGCCCCCAAAGCGACAGCCGAGCAGAGCCAAAAGAATGCTCTCTATGCCATTATAGTGTGTGGCACTTAGATGGAGAGAGGGGTGCGCAGAGGCGAGGATAGTTGGCAGAGTCACTTGCAACTTGCAACCCGTTCCTCTCAGCTGCTGATGCTGATGCTGCTGCTGCTGCTGATGCTGCCCGATGCTGTGTGCTCGCTCGTGTGGCATTTAAATTTCATTTTTAATTTGCTTTTTTTTTCCTCCTTTTTTCTGAGCTTGCCTTACTGTCCCCTGCCCCTCCTGCTCCTGCTGCTGCTGCTGCAGGCACATTTTATTATTGCATTTTATGCCAGCGCGGGGGCAACCTTAGAACAGCACGTCATTAGGCGATAAATTATCTCAAGCGCGTTGCATTTTGCATAAAATGTTGCCGCTGTTACAGCCTTGGATTTGGAGCGGTAAATGTGTGCCAACAGCTGTGGCACAGGCGGGAGCAGCAGCAGCAGCGGCAGCAGCATTAAAGGATGCCTGGGCAATTTGAATTTGTGAAATTCCATTGGGATGGGGCGGGGTGGGGGGCTGTCCCAGCAAAGGCAATCTGCAATCCAAACAGTTGCCGTTAGATGGAGGCCAGTGCCAGTGCAAGGGCCGCGACTGGCAATGGGACCCGCGACAGAGACCGAGACCGAGTCCGGGATGGGCTTATCTATCCACAAGATGTTGCCGTTTGATAAGCTCAGCGCAGCAGCCGGCAATTTATGTGGCAGTCCCACTGCTGCTGCTGCTGGTGCTGCTGCTGCTGCTGCTGCAATTGCATTCATCATCGACTGCAGCAACAGTTGCTGCCGCATGGAATGCACTGCCGTCGACGACGTGCGTTCAACTATGCAAATTTTGTGTGCAGCTCCATCTCGCCATCTACCCCTGCATGGAGGACACAGAGACTATTGACTTGCAACTTGCTACAACTTAGTAGAAGTCAAGAGTGTGTGTGTGTCTTCGTCTGGGTGTATTGATGGGGCATGCTTCTATGTCTATGGCTGTGTCTGTGTGTGCCTTCTTGTCAAACAGCATTCAAGCACGATTCTGGGAAACATTCCTCTCCACTGAGTTGACTGAAAGAAAGAGCCAGCCAGCCAGCCAGCCAGCCAGCCAGCCAGCCAGCCTGAGACTGCGCTAAAGTCTGTGTCGGTAACTGTGTCGGGGATTGGAGCTTGTTGGGGGGTGGTGGGGGATGGCAGCAGGAAGACAGATTTTAATACAAATGATCTGAAATTATATGGCGTGGGGATTGGAGAGCGAGCTCTCGATAAAGTGTTGTCTGGACGAAAGCTGAATGTCATGACAGTTCAATCATTGCAGGAGATTGCCGATCTGCTTGCAGGGCAGAGATTTCTCAGTCTCAGTGTGGGGTGGGGAGGGGTGGTGTGGGGGGGGAGAACGATCCCAATCCAACGAATAATTGATAGTGGTTTAGAAAGCTGTATGCCAGCAGCAGCAGCAGCAGCAGCAGCAGCGTCAAGTGAATGTCCGTCCGCTGGTTAGTTTTTTTTTTTGTGTGTGTGCAGCAATTAATCTGAAAACGCTTAACGATTACCCACCGCCCCCCCCTGCCCCGTGATAACGACTCTCGAGAACATAACGCTGCCGTTGGCATGCCAGGACCCGGGACCCAGGACCTCTCTCTCCCCTGTCCGAGGCGATGACAAATGGTTTTTAGCGCAAATTGTGCAGGGAATGACAAAAAATCGCTGAACTTTGACTCCGCCCACGCCAGGTAGCTGTAGCTGTAGCTGTACCTGTACCTGGCTCGTGTCCTGCCACCGTGTGGCATGCCTCGTCGTTAGTAGCCGTAGTAGTTGGCCGAAGTTGGCAGTTAAACGCCCAGCCATTGAAACAATTACGCTATAACAATTACGCCCTGTGTGCTGCACATGCAACTGCTGCAAGTTTTACCCCGTGCTGCTCCTTGCTGCATGTGCTACATGTGTGTGTGTGTTTGTAAATTTGCCACACTTAGCGATGTTGCTACTGCGCTGATGGCAACGCTGCTGCTGCTGCTGCGGAGCTGACGTGGCAGGCATTTCCATGCGTCAAATTGCCGCCAGGGCATTGCGTGTAATTACAGCAATAAAAATTGCAACACATTGCGTACAAACATGCAACATAAGCAGAGAGACAGAGAGAGAGAGAGAGAGAGAGAGACAGAGACTGGAGCTGAGTAAATTCCTTGAGTCAGAAATTTAAAGTACATCCCGCCGATGTTCAGCAATTATCTAATTTATAGAAGTGCATTTATCACAAAACCGAAGCAAATACTCGGCAGATGAACAGAAGAACTTAACTGCCTGCCTGCTTGCCTGCCTGTCTTTGCCACAATTTGTGTCTCTGGCTAACGAGCAGAGTCAGTCAGTAGTCAGTAGTCCGGTAGTCAGCATTCGCATTCAGCACTTGGCATTCGGCCACAGCTGAGTGCACCACCAGACTAGACCAGACCAGAGCAGACCAGGCCAGGCAGGGCCAGGCCCCCACTGCCTGCCACTTGGGTGGGCCAACTGATTGGGGGGCAGCTGTGTGGTGCCGTTTGGGGGCTATCTTACTCACTCACTCTCTCTCTCTCTCTCTATCTCTCTCTGTCGTCCTTCAAGCGGAACGCAAGTTGATTGCATTTTTAGCATAAATTTCAACGCATTTGACTAATGTCCGGACATTTGTTACTGTGTGAGAACACAACGGACTCTGAGGTTTCTCGCATTCGGTGATTTTTCAACAGCCACTTTGGACTGACCATTATCGTCTCTACCCTTGCAGCGAAAAGCTGCAGCTAATAGATACTTGTACTCGTACTGGTACTCGTAATGTTGCAGTGGATGATGATGATGACGGGTGATGGGTGATGTATGGCCTGCAAGCAGAGTCGTATGCTAATTCAGCAGTAGAGAGCTGCCTGGCCTGGCCTGGCCATGTAATTGTCTTAACTGCTTAATATCACGTATACGCACCGTCCGAAAAATCAACAGCCAGAGACAACAGCCACCAACGGGCGGGACTCCATGGTTCGCGTCAACAGCACAATAGCAGCGGCACAAAAATTAATTAACACGCCAAGTCTGACTGTGACTGGACACGCCTGCAGCACGTATCGTACTGCCACCAGTGGGGCGGAGTCTCGCAGTCTCGGACTCCTCTGATTCGGAGTGCCAGGGACATAGACCGAGGCACAGAGCCCAGCAAGGGCTCTCTCCCCTCTCCGCTCTCCCTCCGCTGTTTGCCATTTTTCTACGATATTTTTCCACATATTTTTTGTGTGTGTTGCTTTGCCAGCTGTGGTGTATTTATGGGCATTGCAGGAACAAAACCTCAATGCAATTGGCGCTGCTGGGGCGAGAGGCGTGGGCGGTCGGGCGGTCGGTCGATCGGTCCGTCGGTCGGTTGCTAAGTGAAAAGCGTGAAATTTATAACGGCCAATAGATTAAGCTAGATTATAAATAACATTTGCTGCAGTTTTTGCTCTTTTGTCTATTGTCTGGGCATTGTCTGAGCATGTGGTTGGGGGGATTACTTATTGGCTAGCACTGCCATAATTTATCCACGTCTGGTACTAGCTGGAGATTTCTAATCAATTGTTTTGCGCCATGTTCTGTGGTCTTTTTTTTATGCAGTTGCTGCCGCCGTCTCACAACCGAAGAACACAAGCGCCCTCCGACCATATTTACAGATCAAGAAGCATTCCGTCACACGCGTGACGATCAGCAAGCCGCATGCCCCCTACTATCTGCCCTGCGTGCCCATACTGAATCCCTACAGCAACTATCAGGGTGAGTATCCCACGCCCAAAGGCAATCAAATCAAATTTACTTAAACTTAAAGGAGGATTTCTTTTCTCTCGTTGTGCGCGGCAGATAACCAACCCATTTACTGCAGCTGGTATCGGAATGGTGTGGCCATCGAAAAGTTATCCATACGCAAAAGTGACTTTTTCATCTACGAGAATGGCACGTTGCGTCTGCCACCAAATGAGCGGGCCAGCGGCGTTTATCGCTGCAAGATCGAATGGGATGAATCGGCTGTCATTTCCGACAGCATAACCGTCGAGTATCCAGGTGAGGCATATGCACAAGAGATCCCCAGAGATACACCCAGCTATATAAATATAAAATATAATTCGTTGCAGTTATCAAACGTTTCTTTCCGGGCCAACAGCAGGCGGCTAATATCAGCGCTTTGGAGAGCAAACCCCTTGTCCTCAGCTGTCCCTTTCTCAGTGTGCCCGCTGCACGGATAAGCTGGTACTTTGCCAACGAATCCCTGGCCAATGACAACAGGCGAGTAAAGATCAGTGTGTGGCAACATTGAGACTGGACCCATTACTCCCATATATACACACATGGATGGCCAACTCTTTGCAGCCAACGCTTGAAGTTTTCTTTGGGTTTTTTCGTTGCGTATTAGCAGCTACTAATTTCTTACTTTAATTTTCGCCCTTTACAGTGCTCTCATCCTGTCGAATGGCACTTTGATTTTGCGGCATTTACGCCGCGAACAAGCGGGCAAATACAAGTGAGTAGAGGGGGGTTGCGGCAACGCAAGGAAAACTAACCAAGACTGACGTGAATTTTCGCATTTGTGGTAATGGTGGTGCTTGTGGTGGAGTGGCTAAATCAACACCTTTGCCAATCCATTCATCAGACGCACTCTCATTGCATCAGACGACTGACTGGGCAGTGGGACGCGTGTGTGCCCGCCCCGTAAACAATGCATTAATTAACATTTAGATGCGGCCGAGCGCCTGCTGTAATTGTGGGCTCCATTGTCCATTGTCCGTGTCAATTATCGCCGTGTAACTAAATATTATCCGTTTCACAGATGCTTGGCCCAGAACCCGTACGCCAGCAAGGCACACCGCCAGTTTGTGTGGCTGCTGCGCGTCGAGCCGAACGGTGGGCAGCGAGAGACGGCCGTGTCGGAGGCGCAGCTGTTGCCTGCGTTCCAGAATGGCACCGTGTATGTGGCTGCGGGCGGGTCCGTGCTGCTGCAGTGCCATGCGGTGGCCGACTTTGTGCCCATCGAGTGGTGGCTGAAGTATCCAAACAATACGCTGGCCAAGATGAGCAACAACAGTGTGGCATTGGCCATCTCGAATGCCAGTGTGTCGCGCCACGAGGGCCACTACAGCTGCATCACGCCCCTGGAGACGCAGACGTTCCATGTGATTGTAACGACACCGCCGCGCATTGTGGGCAGCCTGCCCGTCGAGCTCGTCTTCATCAGCCTGTCAAAGACGCTCAGTTGCCGTGCCGAGGGCCATCCGCGGCCGAGCATCACCTGGTACCACAACGGACAGCAGCTGAACAGTTCCTACACGCGCTACATCAGCGGCAATGATCTGCACATCCACTCGTTTGACCCGGAGGAGGAGGGCATCTACCAGTGCATGGCCCGCAATGTGGCCGGCGAGGACTCGGCCACCGGCGAGATGCGCTTCAAGCGGCAGCTGGAGCAGGGCAATCCGTTGCAGAATATACGCTGCTATCCGCACAGCTTCCACACCATCAACATCACGTTCGACAGCAGCACCCTCGAGTCGATGTTCGTGGTGTACATTGTGCGCAGCAATCCGCACAGCTGGACCTCCTTTGCCCCCATGAAACTAAATCACACCTCGTTCGTGGTCATCTCCACCAATCTGCCGGTCTATCGGCCATTTGCACTGATCACACGCTTCCTGTATCCCACCTCCGAGGTGCGCTCCGGCACCGCAGTGCCACAGCAAATGATTGTCAGTTCGCTGCGCAGCACGCCAGTCACCTGCTGCACCCAGGGATGTAAGGTGTATATCCCCAAGCAGCCCGTGCCCTCGTAGTGTCTATAGTTTTTCCCACATACTTTCCACAGTGATGCTGCGTCCCATCGGTTTGGGCAATGACACCTACGTGAAGTGGTCGCAGGCCGAGCTGGACAACAAGAAGTACTTCATACTGCAGTTCTCCATCAATCACACGCATCCGCATCCCAGCCAGCTGCTGAACGGGCCCCTGCACGGCACCCTGTCGCCCGTCGAGGAGAAGGTGGACGAGGTGCGCCGCCATTTGACCATCATACAGCCGCTGAATCAGACGGCCGCTGCCACCGTGCTGCGGAATGCCGAGCACGAGGTGCTGGACAACGAGGTGGACGATGTCACGCTCGAGATGGAGGAGGACATCTTCAGTTTGGTGGTGGACGCCAGTGTGACGGGCATGCTGCTGCAGCGTTTCGTGCGCATCAAGATGCGGGTGCTGATCATCACCAGCGAGAACGAGTTCCTCGGCCAGGACTTTCGCTATGTTCAGTGGAAGATTGTGAGTAGACTGTACTGTGCAAAGAAAAACACTAGCATTCTGTAGAGAGGAGAGGATTAACGCTGCCAAGGGCGACACCGACACCACATGCTAAAGTCTTGACTGTATTTCTTTCCCCCATCCCCCCCCCCCGTCTGCAGATTGAGAACGGCACCTCGGAGCAGTCGAATATGCCGTTTCGCTTGACCACCATGGAGTCGCGGGCGCTGGCCTTCAAGTTTCTGGACAGCCTGAACGAGACGTGTGTGTACGAGTGCCATTTGGTTAAGCCCATGCACAACACCAATCAGGAGTCCAAGTGCCAGGAGCGCACCATATTCAACTCTGTGCTGCTGGTGAGCGGCCTCAGTGCCAACGAGCGATACAATTTCCATTTCTACAACTGCAAGACGCGCATCTTCTATGGCGAAATGGATGTGCGCACCCTGCCAGATCGTAAGAGAATATATATATCACTTTTTTACAACTACACTCTACACCTACACCTACACCTACCTGTATGCATATCCAACAGCTCCTGGCACCATCAGCAATTCAAAATTGATTAAGCAGAATGGCCTGAAACTGATATGGGAACCGCCAGTGAACCCCAATGGACGGGTGCATCACTACAACATCATTTGGACGCTGGACAGTGTGATGCACGAGGCGAATGTGCTCGAGTGCAGCGTCTGCTCGTACAAGGTACGTGGAGGAGCGTCTTGGGAGCATTTCTTTGCTTGCATTTTCCCTGACTGCTTTCGTTTTCTTTCTATCACACAGTTTCCCAATGTCTCGGTGTCGGATAAAATTCATGTGGCTGTTCGCGTGGTGGGCGAGACGGGCGTGGGTGCGCCCATGTACTTCGATATGGCCAGCAATAGCCACAATCTGCTGGAGGAGGATCGCGCCTCATCCCGTTCGGAGGTGTACAGCGGCATTGCCATCGGCTCGCTGCTGTCCATCGCCTGCGTGCTTGTCTTTGGGCTGTTCATCATACTGCAGCAGCGACGGTTCAAGGCACGGGTACAGGGTCCCACGCACCTCACCACGCCCACGGACATCAATTTCGGGAACCTGAGCAGCGCCTCGGGCATGCCCGGCGATAGCGCTGGCGGCCTCAGTGGCGGCACACTGCAGCAGGACTGCCACGAGATGCAGACGCTCATTCCACGCTCGCGCTACCACATCGAGCTGCTGCCGGAGCACACGCTGGAGTACCAGACGAGCACGGCACACGCTGCCTCCGTCCACCTGCCCAATGGCAATGGCAGTGTCGCCCAGATTGTCGCCCGACGGCCCGACCGCGAGGGGCACTCAGAGTTGAGCATTGCGGGGGTGCATAATCTGTCGCAGCTGCCGCTGTGCGGCGGCGGATCGCCGGAGCGCAAGACGGTGCAGGATGCCATGCTGCAGGAGGCGAAGGCCTTTTACATACCCTACCGCCACACGCCGCCCAATGCCGTGGCACTGGGGTCAGCCGGTGGCTCCAATGCCAGACACAAACAATGTTCCTCAAGCAACGGCGACGGCGGCAGCGGCAGCAGCTGCCTGGAAGTGGCTGTGCCGCCCAACTCTCTGCCGCTGGTCGCCACGGTAACGGGCCTGGGTGGGGGCGGCGGCAGCAGTGCCAGACGCAGCGGCAGCCTCAGCAGCAGCAGTGCCAGCAGCAGCAGCAACGGCAGCAGCAAAAAGCAATTCCACACGAACTTTGTGCGCCATTCGAATTCCAACGATGGCATCTGTCTGCTGGCCGAGGAGGAGGCGGCCGCCACCCTGACACCCACCTCGGAGCATGAGTATGCTGCCGTCTGTCTCACCAATGGTTTCAAGTTACCCGCCGACATGACCAAGCAGGCGAGGTCAGCCGCCGCCAATGCCTCCAAATACAGCAGCAGCAGCAGCAATAGCAACAGCAACAACAACAACGGCAGCAGCAGCAGCAGCAACAGTCAGAATAAGTCGGCTGCCGGCCAGCCAAAGGATCGCCAGCGAGGCAATGGCAATCCGATCTCGTTCAGCCACAATGCATCCATAGTTCCTGCCAACGGACCACAGGCCACGGCCGTTGACAACACAGCCACTGCCACTGCGACAGCCACAGCCAGTGGCCAAGTGGCAATGGGCAAGCAGCCCTGGCCGGCGGCGCAAGTGGTCCACCGCCGGGCACAGGTTGATCCCAATGGGTGAGACAGCAGCAGCAGCAGCAGCCACATCCACGGGGCAGCAGCCGCCCCGCCAAGCCAAGCAAAAGTATTTTTATGAAGCTACAAAAGAGAGAAGGAAAGAGGAGAGAAGAGGAGTATGGAAACCACATTCACAGCTCGAAACATTCCAAAAGACGATGAGGATGAGGATGAGGAGGATGCATCCACTATATGCGTTTAGCTAGATGGGTACAGATGTATGGTGATGATAAGCATTTATAAAGAATACATTTTATAAATGTAGATAATTATTTAATAATAACTGGAAACTGGAACTATGGGAGAAATGATTCGATAAGGATATGATATATTTATAAAACATACACACACACACACATGCATACATACATACATAAAATACATATACGCTAAGTTTTAAGCTATAGGTTTTGTGTCTTGCGATTTTGTGTTTTTACTATATTTTTATTATTGTATTTTGTATTTGTTTAGTTTTTGTTTGTGTTTTTTTTTATTTGTGTCGTTAATGGAGGCTAATTTTTTATTATATGTAACGTCTTTAAAAACATACACACATACATAGACACATACATACGATACAATAGAATAAAATAATATAATTTATTATTGTTGCTGTCGATGCGAAGCGAACATGCATAAACATGTTTATGCATGACAATATTTGTCACTTGTAATTACGTACTACATTTTACAATCAACACACGTATCCGGACTGCCGCAAAGATTCAATTAAACACACACATACACATACTATATTTATATATATGTACAACAAGCCAAACAGAAACCACACATATTGCAATAGCCCACACTTACACAGTCCACAGACCGACCACCCACTCAAAGCCACACTCAACCACAATAGTCACAAGTGTTCACATCGATTCACCGATTTAAAACGTAATGTAATCCATATTTGTATTTCGTATTCGTATTTTTATTTTTATTTGTGTATTTTTATTTGATAGATGCACCACCTACCATTTTATTTTATTTTAAACAACTAAATATTTAATTTCCGCATTTTTTACTGCTGAATTTATTTTGTTTTGTTCTGTTTTTTTTTTTTTGTTGTTGTATAAAACCGATATATCAAATGTACCTGATTATATTCATTTTGCATTCTTGTTTCTGTGTTCTATGTTTCTCTCTCGCTATCACACTTCATAGCACACACACACACCCAAACACTCCAATTATAAGAGCACATAAATACCATATAGAATCAGCCACGAGAATCCATAGCATTTTGCAGACCTTATTGTATTGTATATTCGATTCAGCAACCGTACCTCGTTTGTACAAAAAGCCAACTAAACCTGTAGCTACGCCAAAACATACAGCAAACATACACACACACACACACACACACACCCACATTCATTCATACTCCTTACACATACGAACATATATACATACATTATGTATCCATGATATTATTTTTGATAAGCATAGAGAAAAGTTAAAGCAGTAGCCACACAAATGACGAGTATTTAGCCAGCATATGAAAGTGTATTTTGTGATTTGTTGTTCAGTGTGATTGTTACAAAATTGTTACACACACACAAACACACACACACGTAAATATATACCTAAAAAATATCTAAACATTCCACAGCAGTATGCACAAATACACACACACACACACAGAGAAAACAACAAACTCTAACACCAATTAGAGAGAAATTTTAAATAATGAAAATATGAAAATATACACACACACACACACATACAAAAAAGATACATACATATATGTATATGCTAAATGATTCGATGTGAACGAAAAACAAAAAAAAATGTGTTTGAAAACTGTAACTGTAACTGTATACGTATTTAGAGTCTAAGTGCAATACCAACAAACAAACAAACAAACAAACAAATCCCTGAGGCAAGAAATAACCAACCAGCAACTATAAACAATAGTACCTTTCCATACAAAACAGCAATGAGCCAGAGATGAGACTCAGAGAGACCCGGACAACACCCAGTTAAACGATGGGTGGGGTGGCGGGGGCATAGACCATTTACCAATTACCATTTATCCAACAATAACAATCTAATTTGTGTTCATACTGAATAAAGCCACACAGACTCTGCATTTCCAATACACCGAACGATGTATAGCCGCATAAGTTTAACAGCCGCTTACAAGGTATTTCCAGTGTTCCATTTAGCGAAGAACTTTAAATTTAACTTACGCAACAAAATAAAAGGCATTTAAAGCAACAAAAACATTAAGTGAAAATAATATTCCGCAAAAGAAAAACTCAAAATTCCTACAACGGAGAAAAATACAAGAAGAGAAAACATTTTAAGCGTTACAAAAAAAATTAGGCATACGACAAAAAATTAACTATTACTATTATACATATGCAGCAAAAGGCAAAGCAAACAAAAAAAAAATGATAAAAATGTATCTACTAAAAAATATATAATTAGGCATAAGAGATCCATATGTGTATGTATTACGTGTTTGGAAAAGTAATTAAAGGATGGAAAGGGAACGTTTAGGAAGATTTGGAGAAAATCAAGTAAAATAGCTGCGATTGTGATCGCCGTGTAAGTGGATGTGATAAATGTTTAAATTATTTAAGCGCAAAACAAACAAAACAAAACAAAAAAACAATAAACAGATAAAGAGAAAGAAATTAATGATTAGGAAGACATAGAAATGCGTATTGCGACTTTTGCAACGGTTTTTGGCCCACGGAAACCAAACCAAAAACAATAACTAAAAGTCCACTAAAATTATAAGGCGAAACCATGATTATGTTCGAATCTTTGGCAAAGCTCTGGCTGCTCCTAGCACACTCTCTACTAAGTCTACATATATATATGTATGTATTATTACGTATATGTATGTACAAAAAAGATATATCTAATTTTTTATTTTTGTAATTTTAGTTTGCATTTAAGCCCGCATTTTGTATACCTCATTAGTAGTTGAGTGGCAAGTAAACTAAATTTTGTATACGTATTTAGGCTTGGTTTCCTCCCCTTTTTTTTTTTGAACAAACATAAATGTATGTTTGAACTATCCATAACATAACATAACTGAAATGGAACGAAACGAAACAACAACAAAAAACTAATGTATTTTTTATGCAATTTATATGCATTGTATATGCAAGCGAAATTAATTATTTGTAGCAACTAAGCTGCCAACGGTTCGTGTTAAAGTTTTTCGATGCAAGCAAATTGGCAATTACCAACCAAAACAAAACAAAAAAACCAACCAGCCAGCAGTAAAAATTGGCAATTGGCACGGCTAAAGAGTCTAAACGATATGTGAAACGAAGCTCGCTCGATGTTTGTTTAGAGATATGACAGATGATATGATGGCAAGGCAGAACACAAGAAATGAAGCAACCTTAACTATTGGACAAAAATATACTAAAAACTAAGTTATGATGGAAAAAAAAACATACAACATATGGTGTTTTATTTATTTATATGGGAATTATATGGGAGCTGTCGGGGCACGTAAAATGTTTTTATAACCAAAAAAAAAACTGAATTAAATATGAAGCAGCTTGGTTATAAAATAAAAGAATTTTTCTCTTTCATATGGTAAATACTCGTTTGTTCGTCTCAGAATTTTAATTTTATTTAATTTAATTTTTATTCCATTATTAATCGTGAATAAATGCTGAAAATGATATGATAAGTCGTGCAGCATATTTTTGGGGGACTTTAGCCGTGTGTAGAATACATGTAAAATTTGCCTACACTTGTATATTTGAATGTGCCAGATAAAGATAGCATGCGAGAGATACTTTTGTGTTTGAGGTTCGTTGGCAGATTTTTATCTGGAGATAACTACGCTATACATATAGATCTGAACGTGGAATGCGTTGAACAATTAACACCAATTAAAAAGCCCTCTTTAAATTTTAGCTTTAATTTATTTTCTCAAACATGATCCTTCGTTTATTGGTTTATTAGTATTCACACTTATCAAATAGGTATAAAACATCGATTGGTTTAGTAATCTGGGGAATTCACATATACATTCATTCATTTGTTTTTTTTTAGTCGTTGGTAACGTTTTACAGCGGTGTAGGATTTTGCTTGTAGTTATAATATATAGATATAGACATTTAAAGAACTAGCGATATCTAAATGTACATACAATATATACATATATATATATATAGTATAGTATAGTAAATGGTACAATATCAATAATGTATTCACGGGGGGATGGGATCGAGTGAACATCAACTAGAACAAAGTGCCACAAGATGATCACAATCGATCACAAACAAAATTGCAAAATAATTATCATTGGATGCCCGAGAATGGGGCATGCTTAAGCGTGTCTGTACCTGTTTCGGCTATTGGGTGGCGGCACCTTAACTAGAATCAAAAAACAAAACGTGTATATAACTAACTAACTAACTAACTTGAGCTATGGATAAGCGAACTATGTAAAATTAGTGAAAATATTCAATATGCTATGCACTATTAAAAAAACACAAAGCGACGCGACGCTCTAAGACGACGCGTGCCCCGCGGGGGCATCACATTTAGGTACGCATAATTCTTGTGGCATCCTCTCACAGTTGGCCATCCTATTCACATATCGATTACAACAATATCAGGTCCTCGCACAATAATTTATGTATGTATTTTTCGTGCAGCTCGTCAGCACACCTTCTCAATCATTTTCACCAGCTCTTTGTACAATATACAATCACGTCCCCGAGGCTTGCATATCTCGCGATGATCCAGCCGTATGCCGCACACATCACCGAATCCAGGATCTGTTCAATGGGAAATATAAAAATTAATATCAAGTAATATTTGTAGATTGATAGCGAAAAATCCTTACCCGCTGAATCCACGCCCACAATGCGCAGGTAAAGCACGGACATGAGCGTCAGGGCCGTCTCCACAAAACTAAATACCTCGATCTTCAGATGACCCAGATGATATAGCCCAGCAAATCGCCGATGCAGATCCAAGAGATACTTATTGTCTGTTGGAAAATATACGATACCAATTATTCCTTTGTAAATTCAGATTTCTTTGGCTCAAACTTACTTTTTTCAATCTCCAGCAGCTCCACGGAACGGGAGAGCAGTGGCGCCTTGATGCTCGCCAAATGGGAGCCACGATGCGGCACCGAGTAGAAAAAGCAGCCGCGTGCTGAGCGCCAGAGCGGCGTCATGGCGGGACGCCCGCACTCCCAGGCATCCACAATCAGCTGCTTGATGAACAGTCCGCCCTTCGAGTGGCCCACATAGATGATGGGATGGCCGTGTCCCACGCGATGCTGGATGAGCAGTTCGGCCATTTCCCGGGAGCGTTGAAACAAATTGGAGCGCGGCTCTTTTCTCTTCCACAGCGGACGCCACAGATACGGATCGGTGGTGTAGTTGATGGCTATGACCCGAACGCCGGGACAGTCCAGGGGCAGCCAGTCGCCGGGCCAGCATGTGGAGTAGTTTGGATCGTTGGGCGAGGGCTTATTCTTTCTGCTGGATTTGCGCGGCGCAGCACTTGGGGTAAACGGCCGCTTCTTGGTTTCCTCGCTCTCGTTCTCATTGCCATTGCCAATGCCACTGAGCATGGACTCTAGTTCGCCCTGCCGGAGGCGGCTGTTGTTGTCCTGCATGCGCAGGCGGAACGTCGGAAAACTGTACTCGACTCCCTCGCATATCTGTATGTCCTCGGGGCCACCGCACAAGTAGGCAAAGCTACGGAGCAGAAATTAATTAATGCTGGCAACTCATAACCAACCAGGGCTGGGCTGGGGGCTGACTTACTCATCGGCATCATCGCTATCGGAAGCATTGAAATTGAACTCCTCCGGCGGCGTTTCCACTGGCTGCTTCAATCGCAGCCTATGTCGCACAGGCACATCCTCGGGGCTGTGCGTGTCCGCCAAGCGGTTTAGGGAGGTGAATTTGGCTCTCTTCTCTCTGGGCGCTGGATGAATGGCTGCACTGCGGGAATGGCGGGGTCGCTTGGGCGGTCTCACTGGCGGACGCGGCGGACGGTCAAACTCCACCGGCTTGCGATCGTTCTGCCAGAGTCCCTGCTTCCAGGTATTCACCAGCGATCCGTGCAGGCCATGGATCAGCACAATGTCGGCCCGAATCGGTTCACCGGGCGGCGGTTCGGCCAGTATGTTGATGGTGCAACAGCTGGGCGCATCCGAACGTATGCCAAAAATGGGTGGACCCTGCATGGGACCACAGGGCGTACAGGGCGTGCTGGGCGCAGTGAGGGTGTCGGGCAGACTCTCCAAGCCATCCTGCGTCCTGCGCATTTTCAGCAGCTTCAGCAGCGGTCCCAGCCGATTCGAAACTGTGCAAGAACCAAGTGAAATTGTTGATCTTAGCCAGAGATATAGCGGGGAGGCAAAAACTTACCCTGCACTGAGGACAAATTCATTGAAATTGTATTGGCGGCAAAGGCCACCAGATGGGTGAGGGCCTGCCTGCTGGAGGCCAGATTCTGCAGCACACGGAGCACACGCACATCGCGTATGCCCTGGATGCCACGCGCCACACCATTCGCCAGTGGCAGCACCAGACGCACCAGTATGCCAAACACCACGCGCATGCTGCCCCCATTGTTGCTGTCCCTAAATTAAATATATAAGAATGCATTAGTGCTCGTCCAGTGTATTGTTTCTCAGGTGTTATACATACCCCTCCATTAGGGCGCCGGCGCTACTCGATCGCACCAGATCGCTGACCACCTGCTCCTCCTCCTGGCGATCGATTTCCAGCTCGTTCGCTTCATCATTTGTACTTTCTGTGCTGGCATGGATTTCATTCTGCGGAACCGTCAGCAATTCTGAGTCATCGACAGCTGGTCTGGCGGCCCCCAGCGGCTCCTCTCCAGCGATTCGCATCATGGCAATGTCACAGACGTAATGCTCATCGATTGACTGCAGCGTTGAGCAGTCTGTTCTCTTATCTCTGTGGCTTTTCTTTCCGTTTCTGTTTCTGTTTCCGTTTTTGCTGCTTCTCAGTTTTTCTATCTCCTCTGGGACTGGGACTGCAGTGTCATATTCTTTGAAAGGGTAACCGTTGACGTTGACGTTGCCGTTGCTGCCATACGATTCAGTAGCTGGCGCAGATCCTCTGTCAAACATTGCCAAAATGCTGCTGACGATGTTCGATGTTCGATGTCCGATGCGCGATGCTGCTGCTGAGGGCCAATTAGTTAGAGCTCAGGCAACAGTTTGCAGGCACAGCACAAGCTGTAAGTTAAATGTAAAAATTTACGTTTAATCGCGGATGCCAATGGAGCGTGGGGGCGTGTGACGACTATTCTAAAACAAAACTGGTCAAGGTCAGTGGCCTCATCCACTCATCTCTCTCTCTCGCTGGCCCTCTGTAAACGAATAGCCAGACTATATAAATAAACATTCACTTGAGGGTGCTGGCAGTGCAGTAAACAAACAAGACGACACGTGGGGGACAACAGTGCCAGAATTTTGTGGCAAAACTTTGATAAGAACGCGCTTTGTTTTTTTTTTTTGGATTTCAACAGCAACAAATTCTAAGAAAACTAACATTTATATGAAATGAAATCTAGAAATCTGTTGCTAAATGAAAGTAATATCAAAGTACTTATCGAGAATTCATTTCAACACACCTGTTTCTGTCCCTGTCCCTGTCCTGTCCCTCTCCTGTCCCTGTCCCTGTCCTGTCCCTGTCCTGTCCCTGTCCTGTCCCTGTCCTCATCCCTCTACTGTCCCTGCCCTATCCTATCTATTGCCTAATGATGTGCACAAAATTCTACTGCTAACCGCAAAGCAGCGATATTTATAACGAATGCTTTTGGATACCATTACATACAATCCAATTAGATGATGTCAAATATGCCGCATAATGTTAGCTTGCTGACGTGCTGCTGCCGTTTTAATGCCCTTGGGTTACATAGCCCTCCCTCGCCCCCTCTGTGGTTGCGGTGGCGCCCAACAAAAGGTTCAAGTTGAGGGTCGCAAAACAAAAGAACAGAGGCGGCGTGCCTGAGAGCTCGTTGCATGTCAGGCAAAACAGCGGGAAAACATCGCTTTTCCCCACATCACTTTTGCGTGTGTGTGTGTGTTAGCGACTGTTGCTATTTATAGCGAAACAAATGTGGCAATATGCTGCAAAAACGCCTTTGCATTTTTGCAATAAGTATATGCAAGTCCACCCCACGCCCCCCCGACTGCCTGCTAGGCGGTTGACTGGCCAGCCCTCGGATCTCGGTCACAGTTGCCAGTTACCCATATAGTACCAGTGGGTAAAATCACACCATCAATAAGCACTCCGATAACAAATACTGCGAGTATTCATTCTATTATGAAATCTCACAACTTGACAACATTCGCACTCTAGATTGGAGCTCAACTTACACTGGATTTCCTCGAGAACAAACACACACAGACTCGATGCTGCACCCGCGGCACTGGCAGTGCAATCCGCTCGCCAGCAAAATCAAAGCAATACTGCAACGGCACCTTGGCGCAGAGCAGCCCAGACCGATGCCGCTGTCGCTGTCTCGGCCGCTGCCGCTGACAATTCTGATGTCGAGGCCTGGCTGTGGAGAGGCTCGAGTGCAGTTTCAGTGGTTGAATTAATGAAAATACTTTCGAGTCAAGTGGCTGCCAGCAGCAGCAGTGCGTCAAAGCCGGTCAATTGTCGGGCCCAGTCTAATAGCTGGCAGAACGGCAAATGGAAGACAACTGAAAGCAGTTCAATTCATTTGGCACATCGCTTATCGTTCATTTTTGTTCATTAAGTGTCACTTGGAACTGGCAACTGGGAAATTTCAATGGAAATGTTTGCGTCGTCTCGGCTGCTAATTGAATGCCGTGAAAGTATCTTTGTTCTTTTTTTGTTTGTGGTTTGTGCTGCTGCCATAGTTTTAATCTAATGCCAAGCACTGATAGTCGCCCCTATCGTATGATATTCGCTTATGAATTTGCCTAACAAATTGATTTTATGGAAATTTTTTTGGAAATTAATTGCATGCAGATATGGTACAAAGGGCAAGCAGGCAGCCAGCCAGCCAACCAGCCAGCCACTCTTTAATCTAGGTAGAACTTTCCTAGCACACATTTAACCAGCGCACCAGCTCGCATTTATTTGCCGTCTTACCCAATTGTGTGAGGGGGTTGTGAACTCTTTTGATTGACAGCACTTAGTATGCCTGATGCCCAGTCTAAAATGCAAATGCACAGATAAACTCACTCAAGTGCCTGCCTGCCCCCCATTGTTATGCGAACCGAAGCAGGGAAGGGGAGGGGCAGTGTGGGACGGAACGGGCGCTAGTGCTACACACACAATGGAAACTCTCTAGTATACGATCGGTTGGGTATGTGCATGAAATGTATGCAAAAGTGCAACGGCACTACCGATGAGTAGCCGTAGCCGTTGCCGTTGTATGCAGCTTTGCTTCGCTTGCGCGTCTTATCTAATTTCAATCGACAAGAATCGCAAATTTGATTGTGTAACATATGCAGTACACACGAGCAGCAAGCAGCAAGCCACAAGCATCGCCTGGCATCGCAAGGTTAGCTGCATTTGAGCATGTCTTAGTCATGCTTGTGCGCCAAGCCAAGTGTCGCTCAATGAGGCCCACAAGCCGAACTCTGGCCGCTGCACGGCCAGGAGGGATTAATCATGCGCCCCGTGGACTTTGCCCAGCAGTCGCTACGTCGCTACGTCGCTGCGTCGCTTTTATCGGCATTCCCAAATGCATTCGCATTCGCTCTGTCTGCTGTGTAGCTTGTCGTTCGTTAATCACCCAAAACAAAGACTGCCCCCCAAAAAGGGTTTTGTCGTAATATCTGTTTGTCTTTGTGGGGCTGTTTTGATCGCTTACCGCTGTGGCGCCTGCTGTCTTCGATTGAAATCTGCGCATATTTGCTGCAAAACAGACGCGCATTTCTTAGCTGGAAATAGTGTATTAATCGAGCTGCGTTGGCAGTCAGCCCAGCAAGGGGGGGGGCAGTGGAGTCCAGTCCCCAGCATAGAGTCAATCAGTCAGTCAGAGTCCCACACGCAAGAGAGGCACAGGGAATGCTAATTAAAGTGTCTGTCGCATGCTGCAGCCACGTGAAATGTGAGGCGGGGGGCAATGAATGTGAATCAAGTGACGAGATTGCATGGTCGAATAGAGCAGCAGTAATTCACCTGTTTTGTTCGCGCTATTGTTGTGCAAAGTGTGCAATAAACTGGAACAAAAATCACAATACCAATCAAATCAGGGAACAACCATCACAAAACCATACGCGGACGATGACACAATTGCCCATCCAGCTGGGTTAGATATTCGTATTTATACGCCACTTCCACCCCATTATGTCTGGCCCCGTGTCGGATTGATTAACTAAGCCAATCGAACACAAATGTATTCTTCAGGTTCAAGAACTATTTGCACCGATAAGATAAGCTAAGCATTTTAAGCAGATTTTATTCCACATTACTTCTGGTGTATGTATGTACTTGACAAAAAGCAAAGAGAATAAAAGAAATAAAGAAAGAATAAAGAAAAAAAAAATTAAGAAAAAAAAGCAATAAAATTAACTAAAAAAAAAACAGCTGTCTCGTTCGTATACGAAAAAAAAGGTCGGAAGCAAGGAAACTGTGACATTTAGCAATAATTTATTTCAGGCAGGCAGCCAGCCCATTTATGGGTGACTGGCAGATAAGCGAATGCACTATCGGAAGGTCGGTTTCCTGAGTAGGTCAAAAGTAGATGCACTCGCCGGACAATGCATGGCGGGGACGGGAGAAAGGGCGACCAACAAAGGCTGTTTGTATGTGTTCTGTTCCGTTTGCCTGTGACCCATAAATCATAAAAAAGCTTCAAGATATCAGCCTCATTGGTTCTCTGTCTTCTATGGCAGCAACACAATCCACTGAATGGATTTAGTGGAAATTGCTGACAAACAAACTTTAATTATCCATTCCACTGTTTGTTTGAACTTAACAAGCGGCAGTCAACTATTTTTGTAAACAAAAACAATCATTATTACTCACACACACGCACATCATTTTCACTTTTGAGAATACAATTTCCATATACTTAAGTTGCCTGACAACAAATTCGAAAACAAGTTTGGCGCAAAGCGAATGGAAATTAATTTGGATTTATAGTATTTATGTATATTCTGTGTCTGCAAGGCATAGATCAGGCCATACGGCGGCGGCGTACGTTCTGGGGCTGCCTGCTGCTGCCATGAGGAACCACAAGAAGAACAGCCCTGACCCTCTCCCCCACACAAAGACAAACAATAAGAATCACCTTGAAGGAGCGTCATCATCCCATACAGGTTGCTGGGCTGCTGGCTGCTAGCTGGCTGGCTGGCTGGTTGATTGTATAATTAGTCTGTGTTGTGTGGCAACAGATTCTTTGTGTTAATTGGAATGTTTGTGCAGATGGCTTTGCATTGCAGAGTAATTACAAGCCCGGAGGAATGCACTCGGGGAATGAGAAGGATTTGCTGTAATGGGCAGTATCTATGACACGATTGCACGGGCGTGGGCAGCATGGATTATAAAAGCTTGCTTATGACGCCTGCCATCATCCATCAACAGCTGTCGCCGGGCAACCTTTGGACTGCCGTGGCAAACATGCAACACAAACACGAAGCGTACACACAGAAGCATAACCACCAGATGAGACACCTCCACAGCCAGCACCACTACCTATGCCACTGTGGCGTCCACTAGTTTTTACGCGATGTCTGTCTATGTATAAAACCGGCCAAACGATAAGAGAGCCGCAGCAGTGGCAGAATTTACTCTAAAGTTGTATCCAAAGAGCGTAAGCGAAACCAAAAGGTGTTGGTTCCATGGTTGATGGTTTTGTTGTTGTTGTTGCGAGACGTAACGTAACGAAACCGAAACCAAAACAACACGTGCAAGGTGTGGAATGGGGAGGTGGCGGAGTGGCGCAGCGTGAAGTTGGGAAGTTGACTCTGGTTGCGGACGCGACGCTTAAACCGCCTTAACCTTCACCACGCGTGCTAAGCACAGGTAAAAGGCCAGGCCAGGCCAGAAGTAATGAAACGAAGCAAAACGAATGGAATACGAGTACATATTTGTGGCCTGGCCTGGTCGAGTAGGAGCCTCATCATTTCTTTTTTTTTTTTTTTTTAACTTAAAGGCCAGGAACGTGTTTGGCATTCGTGATTTCTGCACCCTCGCACCACACACACACACACACACACACACACAATGTGGGGCCAGTTGAATAGGACGCGGGAGTGGCTTGTCCGCCCCATTTATAGACATCATCAGCGCTTGCCGGAATCTCTCTGATGAATCGCATTGTGTCAACCCCCCAACAATTTGTCGAGGGATTTCGCATCGCAAATGGCGTGTGAGTGTGAGTGTCTGTACGGGGTAGTCCATCATCGGGAGCATTTGTCAGCCAACTAACAAGTATTAATTGAATTATTCACAACTTGTCATTGGATTGGACAAATAAAGAATGATATCTCACACCTGCTTCATTATTATCGTTTAATTTTTAAACGGATGCCCAAGCGACTGGGCAACTGCTTCTTCAATAATTAATATGCACTCTTGGGTGGGTTTTTTTTTGCGGGTTGGTACTTCCTCTACATACATACATATGTTGTATGTATGTATGTTGTTCTGGTTCTTGTTGCTGTGTGTCACGTGGGGGGATGGGCTGACGCTGCCCTAGGGTAGGATTTATGGCATTCGTTCTTCGAGTGTTCTCGCAGCGTTCGTTCTCAGACCATATTCTTCTTAATAGGCATAGACACAAACAAACGTACAAACATAAGTATATCTATATTTGTATGTATACACACACACTAAGCTACAATAAAGCACGCAACACACACACACAGTCACGGTTCAACTTACACATCAGAGTGGAGAGCCCACTAAAAACAACACGAACAAAGCTTGCGCGCGGGCTTTTCAACGACGTAACAGGAAAAAATCTCGCGTCCCGCAGCGCTTGGACGCTCGGCAGCAACTATTCCGTCGTTACACAGCAAGCAATATCTTTCCACTGTCAACAAAAAATAAAAAAGTTTTGCGTTGTTGTCTGGCAGCTGTTCGTTCGTTCCGTTCCGTTCGTGCGCGTTGCTAAGCTTTTCGTGCGGGCAAATATATATACATAGATATCAACTTTATATTATACAGAGAGAGAGAGAGCTGACATTACAGAAAGCTAAGTGAGCTTTTACAGCAGCGGCTGCCAACTTAGAGCACAGCTAAGCTTATTAATCGATATGTGTAAGCAGCGGAGACGTAACAAAAACTACAAAGACAAAACCGTTACAAAGAGAGAGTACCAGCTGCAGGCGCTTACTGCCGCCCGCGCTTTATTTTCAATTCAAATGGGAATACAGTTGATTTAACATATCAAAATATATGTATGTGTGTGTGTATGTTTTCCGACAAATTTTCGACCGCCCCTTCATATGGGGAGTCATACAAAATAGTGGCGCTCCTGGAGCGGAGCGCTGCAGCCGCTGACTGCCACAAAAAATTGCATCTCTAACGCTGGAGGTTAGTTTCCAAAAAATATTCAGCCCCTCACGATGAGGACGAGGAGGAGGAGGAGCTGCCCGAGCTGCTTTCAGAGGAGCTGCTGTCGCTGCTGCTGCTACTGCCGCCCCGCTGCTTGCGCCGCCGGGCCTTGGCCTTCTTCTCGTCAATCACCTCGTAGCTGGGCAGCGTCGAATTGCTGGAGTCGGAGGAGCTGCTGCTGGAGCCGCTCGACTCCTCACTAACTGCCGCCTCGATCTTGCGGGCTTTCCTGGAGTTGGAGTTGGAGTTGGGGCAAATGCTTGAATCGATGATCACTGAGCGGGAGAACAGTTATTACCTACTTCTTATCATTTTTGTCCGCGTTCTTGGCGCGCTTCTGCTTCTTGGCCATGGCCAGGTCGCAGTCGCTGGGCGAGCTGCTGCAGATGCGCTTTGACGACTTCTTGCCCTTTTTGTCCTTGCGCCGTGGGTCCTTCTCGGTGCCGCTGGCCCTGGTGGAATAGAGATTCTGTGAGCTGGCCGTCGAGTAGCCAGTGTCCTTTCGTTTGCGCTTTTTCCTATGATTATTTGTGTAACATTTAACTGCAATTGGGTTGGGGATAAAGCCACTTACTTGTCCTTTTTGTCCTTTTTCTTTTTGCTATAGCTTGCCTCCTGTATGGCATAGTCTTTGTCCTTGGCCCTGCTTAGAAAAGAGTTTATAGATTGTGCTATGTGGATGGGGGGGACATGCTCACTTTTTGATTTTCTTTTTAACATCGCCGCCACGCTCATTGGATATCATGTAAATGCTGTTTTGGTCCGCCTCCTGCACTCGCCGACGCGACTGGAACTGACGCGACTTGGCCATGCGGCTCTCGCGACGACTCTTCCAGAATTCAGCATTGACCACGTACAGTCGATACAATTGCAGTATGATCACCAGAGAGTTTTTACCTACAAGCAGGAAGCGAGAGAAATATAATCTCTATAAGGTGGAAGGCAGACCCAAGCAGCAAGCAGCGACTCTTACATGTAAAGAAGACATTCATGTAGTTGATGATCTTGTACTGGAAAATGATCAGCAGGCGGAAGGTGAGGAAGGGAGCGTCCTGCAGTATGACATTGAGCACAATGCCCCACACATCGATGCCACAGCAGCAGTTTTGGCAGCAGTCCGTGTGCTCCTCCTTCTGGTGTGAGCCACTGCCACGGGGTCGTCGGCCACGCGTCGCCGATAGCACAATTGTAAACTGCATGAGGCTCCAGGACCAGATGCCCAGCGTCAGGTAGACCAGAAAGCCGATCCGTGCAATCGAATCATCCTTGTAGGAGTCGAAAAACTCAATAATGTCCGCCGCCGTGCCAATGTACACCAGCAGCAGCTGACTGAGCTGATCCCGTGTCAGGTCGCCCTTGGGCAGCAGCCAGCGGCCCACAATCAGAATGAGCATCAGGAACTGTTCAATGAGTGTCGTCCAGGTGTCCGTAGTGATGACGGGCAGCTTAATGCCAGCATCGTCCAGCAGATCTGTCACGGGATCCATGCCACTGCCACTGCTGCCGTTGCTGCTAAAGTTGCTCGCATTTGTGGCATTCGAGCTGGTCTGGGGGGCGTTTATTATCTGCAGGCGTCGCTCAATCTTGTCCAGCTCCAACAACCAAATGGCGGGCACAATGCTGCTCAGGTATAGAAACACCGAGGGGCAGAACCTGAACAAGTGGGTGGCAGCATAAGAGAGACAGATAGAGCATAGCGTTCAAAGAGGAATAGCAAAAACAAACAATGGTCCCGACCCTACCCGACCCGACCCGTTCCCGAGTGATGCGTCGAAAGGTAAACATCACCCAACCACCCACCCGTTCACACGGAATTCCATTAAAGTTTTTAACACCGTTACGACAGTGGGGGGATGGCTGGGCTGGTCAGTCTGCCCACATTAAACACATGATTTCACTTTTAATTGAAAATCAAAACCCAAAACCCAAGGGTGACGTCAGCGCTAGCCCCCTGGCTGTTGTTTACATTGCAGGAGACAGAGACAGAGCCAGAGCCAGAGGCGGATCTGCCTGGGAAGAAGAATCTATGTGTCGCTTACCAACGCCACTCCTGCGTCTTCTTGATCATGATGGTGAAAATGCCCTCGAGCAGCAGCAGCAGCAGGGGGCCGCATAGTGTCCAGTAGATGATGTCGTCCTTGAACGTCGTCACCCGCCAAATGGCCAGCAGACTGTGCGCACCGAATATGATCCTCGTTAGGATGGCCTTGATCGTCGATATTATCTTGGCCATGGTCTGATGGTCTCAATGACATAATCCTGTGGCTGCCAGCATCGAGTGTCAGTGTCAGTGTCAGTCACTCCACTTGTGCTACGCCTGTGCTACGCTTCTCCTCCGTTAGAACCGAACCGAACCGCACAGGTCAAAAAGCCAAAGGAAACTAAATTGACTTGAAAGGGACAGCAGAAACAGCAGGCCAAAACGCTTTCCTTCATTAGATGTTTAAACGCTTTTTAAGAAATTAAGGACACCGCAGCGAATGGCGCGTAATTGGTGAATGGACAGTGGACCCAGTCCCAGTCACAGTCCCCGTGTCCTCCGTCCTGTGTCCCCGTGTGTGTGCCTTAGCCCGAAGCGTCTTCGACATTTACAGGACCGTCTCTAGAGGCAAAGGAACCCAAGGGGAAGTCGGTTTTGGTTTTGAAACGCTCCTGGTAATGACACCCCCCAACGAAATCGAACCCATGCGTGTTACAATTATGTGTACACATACCTAGAAATCACCACGACCGTTAAATGGTTCAGCTGACTTTTTAGCCAACGAGACTAGCCAAGCCAAGCCAAGCCCTACCCGGCTCGGCTCGGCTGGGGCCACAAATGCAATGCAAACAAATCGCAGAGTGAAAAGGCGCCCAGCCTTGGCCATCAAAAACGTGATAATGTAGCTGCATGGAAAGTTATAGTCATCATTAAACCACCCCCCAGCCCGTTCCCACCTCCCATAGATGTTGTTGATGTTTACCTTTGTGTGGGTAAAGTTAGGTCAATGTTTTTAGCGCACGTGAAGTCATTGAACAGTGAAAAATAATAAATACAATGGGGGGCGGTCGATAGGGGATTGTCCCAACCTGTTGATTAGAGCACATAAATTGTAAAAGTAAGTACGCTTTTGTCGTGCATTGAGGCTATAAAATAACCGATTTTAAGATTTGGCTGCACACAACCGTACAAAAAATCAAACTCGCCAGTTGTGCTCTAGATGATGATGATCCTCGGAATTTCAATAGACTAAATCCAAATGAATTGATTGCTTTACCAATTTAGAAATTATATGATAGCCCAACCATCAAAATTAGCTTTAGTTCTCATATTCTTTTGATCATATATCTTTTTTCGATTTCTGAAATCACAATATTCAAATTTAAATTCAAATTTCGCGCTTTACTGTGTGTTGTGTTGAGTAACGTTTACTATCGTTATCGTTTGTCATTTGCCAGCCCTGACATCAGCTTCAGGGTGACCGTTTGCGGTATTTGGGTTTTTTCTTCGCAACATGTGGCAGCACTATCAATATTCGAATATTTTACATATTCGTTTCTCCAGCTCGATTACAGCACCGCATTTGAACAATAAACAATGAACAATAATGTCGTGTCCGTCATTATATTGTATTTTTTTAATAATGGCAAGGTATATTTCGGTATATCGGTATAAGTATATAATTAAGTTCCAATTATTTTCCAATGTATTCAGATACTTTTCAAAATGAACGCCAAATTCCAAACTACACAATTACGTTTTATGCTTTGGTCGTTTTTGTTTGAACGTTGTTTGAATGTTTTGAAAAAAACAATCGATACTATCATGATAGTATCGGGCTAAAAAAATGATTAATTATTAATTTTTTTTTTTTTGTTATTTACTGGTTACTGAGTGTTTTTGTGGAGACTTTCCCCTCATTTTCTGCTGAAATATTTCCCATACAAATCAAATGTATCATACGGGAACGCGTATGGAATGACGCAACAATGAATCTTTATTCCATACATTTTAGCAACATGGGGAAATGAAGTAGCAGCATTGTTGTGCGACTTTGGCACGGAATGAGCAACAATCTGCATACCTTGGGAAAATGGATATTATGGACTTGGGATATTGTTTGAATTTTCAGGTTCCAATTAATGCAAAAACTACTCAGTCTCTGTTCTAAAGATTTTAACAAAGTTTTGCAGCTCACGACTACCAATAATAGGTATCAGAACCGGGATAAATGTATTTATAACACACAAACATGTGCATTAATATGTAAAAAAACATGTCAATCTAGGATAAAATCATAAATAATGTTTCAATGGAGCTTGGAACAAAACATTTAATCCCAATTAAAAGAAATAAGGTATACAAAAGTACATACGCATAGAAGATACTTGGTTGACCAGCAACACTGACGTAACATTTAGTCAACATTTAAGTTTTATGCTTTGGCCGTTTTTGTTTGAACCTTAATATGTAAACAATCCAATAAAAAAGAGTTCTAAAATCTAACCAATCCTGAACAAAATTTATGTATCTATCGGATAAAATTATTTGTTTGGGGCTGACAGTGCCAAATAGCTAGTAATATTAAACCGAATATCAAAATCGAGGAATATCAACGCATCTTATCGTGTCCGTCGGTATATTTACGGTATATTTATGGTATATTTCGATATATTTTTGAGTGTCAGTCGGTATATTTTATCAACACCTTTGCATAACACAGGACGGGCAGCGATTTTAACGAAATAATTCAATTAAAATGTCCAAGGCAGCCGGTAAACTGAAATCCCTGAAGAAGACAGTCGATCGGGTTACGCATACGAGCAGACTGAAGACCAACATACCCGCCGGGATGGCGGCAGCAGGTCCGCCACTAGGACCCATGCTGGGTCAGGTTAGTAGAGCACTCAAAACATAGCACATTCGGTTGCTGATTAATGGTAATTCACAGCGTGCCATCAACATAGCTGGATTCTGCAAGGACTTTAACACGAAAACAGCGGAAATGAGGGAGGGCGTGCCTCTGCCCTGCCGCATATCTGTAAACAGCGACCGCAGCTACGACCTGGCCATACACCATCCGCCGGCGACTTTCTTTTTGAAGCAGGCGGCGGGGATACAGCGGGGCACAATGACACCTGGCAAGGAAGTAGCCGGCATGATTACCCTCAAGCATTTGTACGAAATTGCAGCCATAAAGATCCAAGATCCGCCCAATGCACTCCTATCCATGCAGGTGAGTCCACATGGCGCAGGAATTGATCCAAGGAAACTAAAAGTTCATTTGAACTCTTTCAGCAAATGTGTGAGATGCTCATCAGCATTGCGCGCACCTGTGGCATCAAGGTGGTACGCGACTTGGATCCGGCGGCCTACGGCGAGTTCCTGGAGGAGCGCAAGACCATTGTGGAGCAGCAGCGACGTGATCTCCAGGAGAAGCGAGAGGCAAAGATGCTGCGAACGGGCTAGTTAGTTAGGGGGTGTTCAGCATGAAAACTGTTTAATCGTTAATATACATCTATAGCTAAAGAAACTCTAATCCAGGCCAATCCGCTTTCTGTCCTTGGCCGCATTCTTCTTGCGCCTCTTTTCCAAATGCTTGTTCAACTTTCCAGTGCTCTTCAGCAGCTCGAACTGGGCCACCAGCTCCTTGGCACGACGTTCCTCTACAATAGAACAATATGTTAATGACCCTGTTAGGGCAGGATATAGTGGCACATACTCTTGGTGAGATAGTGAGGCTGCTGTCCGGCGTTATGTGACTTTTGGATGGTGTCACGCTCCTTTTTCAAGGAACGCTGCTTGAGGTGCCACCGCTTGTCCTCCACATTTTTGTTGATGAGCCTTTGCATGGTGTGTTTGATTTTCTGCTTCTCCTCGGCATCACCCACGTCGTCCAGTTGCTTCTTTAGCTGGCCAACTTCCTTGTCACGTATTTTAGCAACAAACTTGTAGTTTTTCTTGAAGGTTTCAATGTTGTAGTCGCCCGACTTTTCATCGAATCGTGGATCCCGTAGCTCAACGTCTTTTTTGCGCTCCACGCGCTGCTCAGCGCCCAGGAAGGGAACCTGTTTCCTGGAGCTCATCTCACGCGGACGATTCTTGTTGAGACGCTTGAGGTCGGTTTTGGTTTTCCGTTGCTTTGCCGGGGCGCTCTTGCTGCCCAGCACCGCCTCCTTGTATACCTTGGCGCCCAGCTGCTCCTTGAGCTGCATAATCTCCTCGAACGACATGCCCTTAAGGTCTTCACGTATTGCAGACTAAAATGGATTATCATTTAGCTGGAGCAACTCAAACCTAGCACTTTTTGTTTCACCTGGCTCTCATCTTCACTGACCGCCTCCGGCTCCGAGTCTGGCGCGGACTCACTAGAAGACGTATCCATCGAATTGGCGCTCAAATATTAGTTTATTTACAAAATTTACAAAATTCCACACGTGTTTTGGTTTTTTTGTTTTGCTTGGAACAGCTGATTGGTGATGTTTGCATTAGGTGGCAGCCCTGAAGTGCTGCCACTTTTTACAACTGATTTTTTGTTTGAAATAAGTTTTAACGACAACGGCCCTGCTTAGATTACATATTTACAGTCACCAGAAGTAATATTTCCACAAACCAACGTGGATTCTAAGAATTGGCTGTTCACTTATACATGTGGGAACCAATGCTTCTTCTTTGACAAAGGAATTCCCAACCATACACACATGTACGTACGTTATATCATTTTAATTAGCTTGCAATCTATTTACGGGTAAATTTTCATGAAGACTTGGAAACCCAACAATCGACATAATCAAGAAATCTATGATGGGAAACCACAAATTTCTTGGAGCCAGAGTAATGTTACAAGCAACCAAGCAATAGGGAAATTCGGTTTTGTCTAAGATTTCTGTCTCTCTGTGTGTGTGTGAGTTTTACGTTTAATGTATGTGGAGATAAAGTAACAATTGTAACTTAATTACACACTGGGCGCAATATTCATGCCAGGATTTGTCTCAGGAAAATCACACGAGTAGGGCGTGATTATTGCGAATTCCATTACACGGGAGAACACTTGAAAGAAATGTGAGTAATTAAGTGCGGTTAGGAAAGCTTGTTTGTGCTCCCCAGGCAGGAAGTGCAGCTGGAGACAAGGACTCAATCAATCCTTCGATTTTGACTTGAAACGATGGCAAATTGGGCGACAAGTGTACATCCGCTAGTCACAGAAAGATACAAAGTAATTTATGCAAATTCCCTACCCAAGAGATTTTCTCTGTCTGTCTGTCTGGCTGGCTGAGAGGAATAAGTCGCTTGCCTTTGTAATGTAAACAAAAGAGGAAACACGTGCTGCTGGGTCTGTGTCTAGGTCTGTAGACGCGCATGCGCCACCAAACATCCAGTTAACAGCAGCATTTACAGAGAATCATCCTTCTTGCAGTCCTTTTAAAGACGATGCTTGTGACTGGCCGGCACAGTTCGCTGTTAGCATTCGTTCGGTTGACTTGCCCCGAGAGCTCAGGTCCCGTCAATTATTATCCATTATCGTGGCAACAAGTGTCCTTTAAGGATGTGCGTAAGCAACTCTTGTACGTTCATAGTTTTCGGGCTTGCAATCATACTGATTGGGATTGCGGTTCCCGGCCTTGCCCAAAATGAGGCCAGCGCCCAGACGGCCGTTCTGCCGGAGGAGTGCGGTAGCACGCAGAGAATGGTAGATGAGTGCTTCAAGGATTTGCCACCACATCTAATGGAGTTTCTGCAGAACACCAAAATTGTCATCAGCAAGAGGGACATCACGACAAAGTGCAAGTAAGCAATCAGCTTGGGACCGTCGGATAGCCAGCTTCCAGAAGTGCATGTGAATTATGCGTATGAGAAATTAAGACAGGGGCCCATCGATGGGATGCATTCACGGATTATTGATTGACCCACTCAAGCTGCTGTTGACACCCAGCGCAATATTTAATTAATTCATATTTGGCCAGGGCCAGAGGGTGTCGAAAGCACTCTTTCGGGCTTTCTTTATTTAAGCGACAAGAAACGATATCCTCCTCGAAAATTCTTGCCAGGGCCGCTAAGAGGATACAAGTTTCCTGATTAATTGCTTCAAGTTTAAGTGTCAATCTGAATTAATTAATTCGAGACCTTTGAAATCAATTATGTTGGTTTATGTTGTGTGTTGACACTACATTAACTATATTCAGGCGTATAATTAACTAATTAAGGTTTAGGGATACATTACGGACTCAAACCTAAAACGATTTAATTCAAACAATTATTTAATTGTTCAATTAATTACTGCCATTATTAATCAGTCGTACACTGTACTACTCTGAGAGAATGTGCAAGCGTGTGGATAAGCACCTGGATCTAGGAAGCTGCCTTCTAAAACTGAAATAATTTCATTAATTGTGTTATGGCGGCAAAAACTTTAAAGCAATCTTATCTAAAACTGCTACAATTCTTAAAACTTTTTCCCCAGCCAGAAATGCAAGCAAATCGGATAACAATTACCATTTCCGCTGGGGAGTCCCTTTTATACATCTTCGTTCTCGTCTTGTGGGTCGTTCCATCTGTTGGATGATAGATACAGTTTCGCATCCCAAGTCTGATCCAATCACAATGGGGGGCATCCTTATACGTGATTGACGGAAACTGTCAGTGACTCTCAGGATAACCTGCAGTCGGCGGTTCCAATGCCAGAATTGTCGATTGATTGGTGTTCAACGTTTATTTATTTATTTTTTTTTTTTTCGTATTTTCTTGCAAAATGGAGTACTTTTTTGGCTGAATTATTAAGGTAGACAACAAGCAAGAAAGTTTGCAAAGTTCGTAAAGAAAACTGCTGTTGTAACTATAGATAAAAGTTTGTATGTTTTACATGTTCAACATTCGACTTCCTAAAAATGGGAAGGCGCTGGGCTTAAGCTTGCTAGTTTAAATGTTGGATATTAGCACGGAACAAAACCTCATTTTCTTGTTACAAAATATCTTCAACGAGAAGGAACGTGTGACTCGCTTCTTTAGACGCGACTCTACTTTTATACACGTACTCAGTCAGTATATAAATAGGTAGGAAAATTTTGAAATACATTTGTAACAGTGAGTAATATCACATGAGTCTGGAAACAAAATTTGGTTTCTCTAGCTCTTATAGTCTCTAAGATCTAGGCGCTAAGCAGGACGGACCAGACGGACGGACATGGCTATATCGACTAGGCTATTGATGCTGATCAAGAATATATATACTTTATGGGGTCGGAAACGTTTCCTTCTATGCGTTAACTCTTTTTGAGTAAGGGCATATAAAAAAGAAGGCGAACGCAGGGAGTCCTAAAAGAGCAAGTCCTAGTGTAACCAGCCGCTTTCCCTTTTTTGCATATATCCCATTGGATTTAGCAACAAAATTGGTTAAATTTGATTTGGTGCAGTCAGCAAAAGTGTTGGAATTTCATGAATCGTGTCAAGTTTCTGTCAAGTAGCAATAAAGGTCCAAGCTAGGGACAATTTTCAAGAGAGCGTTTGAAGCTGTTGGCTTCCTTGTTAAGTTTATTATTTATTTACGCATTCTGTCGGTATCGAAGCAAATACTTTGTGAGTTCCCTTTGTGTGGGAGTACCAATACCTGGCAACAGTATTTGGGGGCCATGTTTCGTGTGTTTCTGGGGCCTCCGGCTCCCCCATCAATCAGCGTTCAACTCAATTATTGCATTGAAATGGGACTACATACAAATGTTTGTTTTGCAGCATTTTTAACCGTGGCATGCAATGCTTTGATGCCTACTCGAAGCGCTGCCTAAACGATCGGAAGCTGGAAACCTTTAAAAACAATGTGGAAGGAGCCCGTCGATTTTTCTATAAATTTTGCGGCGATGCGGATTTTCAGCGAGGTAAGATACACACAAGGATAGCGACGCCAGGTGGGAAATCAATTTGGCAAGCCGAGACTGAATCAGACATAAGCACACCCGAGGCGCAAAGTACTCAACAGTGAGATACACACTGAGATAAACACACACACAAGGACCCCATGAGATTATCCCGCTAAGTCAAGGACAAAGCTCGAACAAAAGACTCGCGACTAGACAGTACTTCAATTGTCGGGTAACATTATCCATTATATGTTGCTTGGTTTTTGGCAGATTACCTGAGGCACAAGGACTGCTTCGCCTACATCCAATTGGACTGGGTCAGCTGCACATCCGAATTCGAGAGCATCCTCAGTGACGAGGTACACGATGGGACGCGAAATGCCAGCGAAAAATTTATGGAATTCTGTTGGTAAGTGGTTCTTGGATATTGCAAATCGAATGGTTAATGGCCATTTGTCATCTCACTCAGTGCCCGCTACGCCTACGAGAATTGCATCTATAACAGTGCGAGATACAAGTGCTACAAGAACTCAGCGGAGTTTGCACGGGAAACGGCCAAAATGTTGTCCGACGAGAAGCACTTCAGGAACTGCGCCATTCTCGAGAATATCTGCGGACAAGCCTCACGACTGGCCCGCCAATGGCTCGGTACGCAGCTGACCCTGCTGCTGATTCTGTTTGTGGTGCGACTTCTGCCGTAAATCAAAGCTCAACAAATGAATGTGGGCGGGTGGTGGTGCTGTGGGTCTATGGGTTAGTGGATGTGTGTGTGAGTGTGTGTGGATTTGGGTGTGGGGTGTGGATATGCATGCGGTCTGGATATGGTGGTTTGAGATTGAGTTTTTATATTTTGGTTGTCCTTCGGTTGTCCAAATGAAAATGCCAAGCATTTTCGAGCTCCCTACCTCACTTTCTCTCTCTCTCTCTCTCTCTCGGTGGTGTATTTTTGGATATGGTTGGGTGGGTCACGGGGTCGGAAAGCGGCACTGGTTTGCTAAGTCTGTAGTCTGCTAAGTCTGTAGTCTGCTAAGTTAAATTAAATGTATATTTCAAATAAATTTATCATTCATGATGTTCAACTACGCTTCGTTTTCCTAGGCTACAGAGAATGCGGGTCGAGTGATTGCTGAATGCAAATAAATTCTACCAAGCATTCCGTTCTTTGTTGACCGGCGCTTGGATGGAAGCTATGGAAGCTGAAAATAAAATATTTTTACAGGTGTTAGAGCCAATAATATTTCCAAGCGTTCTGTTCTGTTTCTCTCCGTGGTGCATAGTGGCAGTAAGGGTAACTTTCCGTGAAATCAAGAAATTTGCAATAAAAAGTTGAGACGGATAAACAAATTCTAAGGAAACTATTTCTGCTTAAAGGTTTCTCATCAATTCTCATTCAGCTCTTGTCTAATAAAATCAGAGAGCAGATAAGATTTCTTGAATGGAAATTGTACGAACAAATATTACCTGTTACCGAGGCTAATAACTTAAATTATTTGCTTTTGTTTCCGAATTTCCATAATTGTTTTAAATGCTTTGCAGCAGCCACTAACGAAATACCAATCAACTTTATTCAATGCACAAGGGCAGCGAGTAATGGAAAATACTACCGCACGTGTCTCATCAACCTTTCAACTATTTGCCAACTATATTAGTGAACTTTTTTTCCACTGCAATCAGAGCACACACTAGGTCATCGGCTCCAATCTGTTGCTCACCGATGACAAGTTTAATTGCATTCGCCCTCAAAGGTACATGCGACAGCGATGCTATAAATGAAACAACCCCCAACGTCCAGGCTAGTGCATACTCCTCACGATGGAAAGCAAATGAAAGTAGCTGATAGCTCGCAACCTAAACTCAAAGTGAAATCCGAACACAAGCCACTTGCTACCCGCCAAACATATCCAGCGCATATGAGGGCCAAACTCATTCCCCCAGAAGCAGCTGTTGCACACAAAGTTACCAAAGAAAAACATTTTTCCCCAACACGGTTAAGAGTCGCTCTTGTGGGTTACGGGCTCCATCCATTGCTGGATGCTGCTAACGTTGTTGTAGGTCGCTGGTCCACGTTAATTTTCCTACTGGCTGCTGCAACATGAAAATTGAACACTAATGGCTGTACTCCATTACCGAGACTGTCACCGTAGCTAAGTACTTATTTTAGCTAACTTTGACATTTTGCTCCACAAGGTAAGTGAAATAGCGTAGAAAAACAGAATGAAATTAGCTGGAAGAACGCAGTTTTCTTTTCAGCATTCACGGGAAATACCTCCATGAAATGATGCCTCGATTCACCTTGTCTTTGAAATTCATTCAAGCTGCATTTTTGTACAGCAACCAAACCGAGAGAAGTTACTTTTTTTTTTGGGAAAAGGTAGGCTGCCATTTGCATGCGAGCTAAGTGAAAGATGCCAAAAGTGCTGCCTCGGGTGGTCATGTAACATTGCTACTTTGAATTGTTTTTCCTAGCAATTATTATTAGGTTAGAATTATGGTAAAATATACAAATCTAATTTTAATAATTTTATTTAACTCTGTAAAATCATATTAAAGTCATATTGAATATATTTAATAAACACAAAAAATAATACAGGAAAATTAAATTCTTACAAGAAAAGGTTTCTTTGAAGGAGAGAGGATGTGCGTTGTATCTTACAACTAATAACACTGTGCTGTACCCTCTTACGCTACCAATATAGAGAGAGATTTTGGGGTTGTGTTGCAAATTTTAAAGATGGCAAGCGGCTCTAAAAATTAAACTAGGTCTTGTAAAAAAACATTCGAAAGTTTTAATTTTGTAGCACTGTGTAATTGTGTGTGGTAGCTTTTGAGCTTTAGTGGATTTGTGCCTATTTAAGTCTGCAAATTCTCATCATGGAGTGCTTTGTGGAATTAAAATCCGAACTAAAAATAATAACAAACTAAGAAATAACATTAATTAAAAGGCAAAGAAGACAGGAAGATAAAAGATGAATTAAGCATACACATAAACTAGTATTAAGCTAGAGACCATTGGCATAGCAAGTGTTGGCTCGAAATGGCTCGCAGTAAATACAAATCAAAGCCTTAAATCTGTCATCAAAATTGCGCTGTTCAAGGCCCTTGTCTCCCAAAAATTTCTACTGAATGAATGGGTTGGGGTTGAGCCCTCGAATGGTTCTGAATCGAACTTTTAATTGAGTCAATTAAGTGGAGTGGGTTATGCACAAAGGTTACTGGGGTTTTGGCCGATGGAAATTCAATGCGCCGCATATTTAACAAGCAGACCAGTGTTATAATTAATACCGAAAAATTGAGAGCTGCCTCAAACTTTGAAATGGTTATCAATTTCGCTTCCCTGCCCTCAGCTTCAGGCCCCAGAGCCAGAAGTTGCCATGGTTCCAAAACAATTATCTAATAAATTCCACTCAAACTTTTCCAGATACATTTTAGCTGCGCGCCGTCAGTCGAAAGGTAAACCATATAATTTGGCCATTCTGTTCAGCTTCTAAATTAAAGAGCGGCCATTTTATATATTTGCGAAATTCGGTTTCGGTCGTGCATTAATTACAGTCGAGGCATTCAACTTTCAGTTGAAAGTCTTCTATGCCAGCTTTAATAAATTCCCAATTAGAATTACACGAAAAACAAATCGTTCATTTTAGTTCCACACGAAACGAAGAAGGTAAGCAAAAGTCCAAAGATGTGAATATATAAAATCACTCGGCAATAAATCATAGAAAACTGGGAGCGTTTTCCCAAGGGTGAAATTCATATAAAAGCATCGAGCAACAAATGCTCAACTGGCTAGCCAATAAGTGGCCCAGACACACCCTGGCTAAAAAACATTTGGTAGCGAAATTTATGGCCTTTTGGCTGCGGAATGAAATCAAGAAATACTTTCAATATTGGTTTAAAGGTTTCCCGGTTTCCCTGGAGATCGGATGCACTTTTACGGAGAGAAGTTTTCCACTTAGTAAGGCAAAAGCAGTGGAGGTGGGGTGAATGGGGGTAGTAGTTTTTACAAGAAAACTAAATCAATTTTGATGTTGCACATATTTCTTCTTTAATTCCCTCAGGCTAAATGCAATAAATGGCATTCAAATGGCAAGTTATAAATAATATTTGGTGCGTGCTCTGACGTTTGTGCTACTCAAAATAACTTTGTAATATGTACGAGCTAAGCCTTTAATGGTTGGTGTGACGACAAAATATACTACATAACATTGGAACCAGATATTTTTAGATATAAGGGGAATGTGAACTAAGTAGACAATGAACCAAACGGAGCATAAACCAACTAAGCCTGCCTCCCCTTACAGTTTACTCTTTCATCTCAGCTTTATTGGCAATTTGGTTCTTTTTCAAAACCAAACTCTGCAGCGCTTTCCTTGCTTGTGCATTACCACGCTCCGCCCAGAAGTTGAAACAGCCCAGGATTATAGATTGGGCTCCTGAGCTATTGTGGGATTATGAAAACAATGATGGTACTTCAGTCGATTATAACTCAATAGCCTTCCTGCAGTGTGTGTGTGGTAAGAAAGTTTTGCCTTAAAGCTTGCTTGCAGTTTCAGACAAATTTGCCACACAGTATTTTTTTTCCAGATTATTTTAAAATCAATGAGAATTTTTCTGGAGGTCAAGCAAGTATATACAAAGTGCATCTCATCTTCCTAATCGTACGTCTATATGCAATAAAAAAATTTGTTTAAAAGGTTCTTGAATGTGTAAAAATTGAAAACAAATTTCATTAGCCAATAAATCGCATCGGAACTTAACATAAGAAACATCTGTTATATGTACAATTGTAAGAATCACTTTTTTTAGTTTAGCTAAAATTACTTAACTAACTATAAGCCCGCCAGCTAGCCAGCCTCTGCTGCTTTGCGGCTGAGAGCTAAACCAAATTGCGACAGCATTAATCATATCGTATAACCTGCGTCAGACCGCCATCGTCATAACCGCCACCACCACCATTGCTATAGCCCCCACCACCGCCTCGACCGCCACCGCTATATCCATTTGGACCAAAGTTTCCGGAGTAAACTGGACGACCACTGCCGCCTGCAGAGCTGCCACCGCCTCGGCCGCCTCCTTGATTATAATAGTTATTGGGTGCACGGCCTCCGCTGTTTCCTCCACCGCCGCCTGTATAGATGCCGGGACCTTGGCCACCGGGCGGGTTACCTGAAAGTACCATTGGAATCAGAGTGTTATGAGTGTTGTTCTATTATTGCGGTGCTGATTGCCTTACAGTCATAACAGCCGCCGCCAATGTAAACCGCTGCCTCGGTCAGAGCCAAAGCACAGAGCGCGAGAACCACAAATGCCGTCGAATGTCTCATGATTAAGTGTCGAACAGGTCTGGGGTAAGTGCGCCTCACAGCAGCCGCTTATATACGCTGCCCATTGTGGATCCCAGCGAACCTTATCGCTGCATCAAAATATAATATAGACAGGCCGCTACGTCAGCCATAATCGTCGCAGGGAAATGCCCAGAGATACATTTCGAAAACGTATTGCGAGCTGTACAGTCGAGTATGCCGACTAAGCGATGCCTGTTCATTTTATTGATGCATCAAAATGCATAGAATTTGTTTGATCGCTAGCTAATGGCTATAATCGCTGTTGAGAGACAAACTTTTGCATTAAATATGCATTCACATTTATGTGGCTCTATTTGGAAGAGTCTAACATCGAATTGTAGTGCTTGTGGCGATGAATATACCTTTGTAATCAATGAGCATTGGGCAAAGCAATTAGCAGTCCATCAGTCAGTCAGGCAGTCCCATAGATGCGCTACCTTCTGGGGGGTTAGGCTTCAGTGCTCATCAGTCACGACTTTTGGGGGTGAAACAAGTTTTATTCAGCTCCCGAGATGGGGAAATTTACGAGCTAGAATTACCTGGAATTGTTTGCCATTCATGCTGGAATACTTGTACAACTTTCAACGTAATAAATTACATTTTTTTTTTTTTTGGGGTGTGTCTGTCCGGCACATCATAAGTTAACTGTACAACAAGCTTCAGGGAAATCAATTACGTGCTAGTTTATCAATATGTATAGGGAAAATCCCCAATACGTTCCAACAGAGTTTCTGATTTGAAGTTCGACTGAAAAATACGAGTGTAGATTAAAAGCAGCGCACTGCCGTGAACTGCAATGCTTATCGCAATATGCAAATTTGATTAAGATTTCGATTTCGATTGAGCGACTGCTAAGCCTATATAAACAGCGTGAGAGGTGGGACAGTAAGCTGTTGAGGTTGACTCTATCATGAAGTACTTAACGTGTGCATTGCTCTCGTTGGCGCTGATTCCGGCTTTGATCGGCGGTAAGCTCGTTGATGAGATTGCAACTCAGCTACACTGCTAATTGATTGTTCTTTGTTTATCACTTACAGCTTTGCCCAGCACTGTGGTGGTGAATGGCGTTTGCCTGACGTGTAAGCTTGATTTGATCTCTAGCATTTGATCAATCGTTAATTAAACCAATCTTCATTCTCTGGTGAAACAGGTCCCAATCCCAACGGAGATCCAGTGTATTTGGATGGCCAGGAGTATCGCAGTTTTTCCTCACCCGACAGCAATGGCAATGTAGTCATCTCACGAGGCGGCGGCGGAGGGAACTACAGAGGTCGAGGCACTTTCTATCAAAGAGGCGGCAACACCATCGTCAATGGTCGCTGTGAACACTGCAATGTGGATGTTTAAACTGAACCCCTAAGTGAACTATTAAGTTTAGTAAACATTTCGAGTTTTGTATTTACGTAGTACCATTTTCCCATGTGTATTGGATATGAATTCATTTAGTTAAAAGCTTGGCTTGGCTGGCTGTCTCCATTCGTATTGCAGCAGCAATGATTGCAATCGCAATTGAGGGCAGAGAGCAGAAAGGGAGCAAATGTCAATAGAGAATTTAAAATTGAATTTAAAATGATACAGTTTCAGTTTCTTTGAAATGGTCTATGCTTAGTCATGTGCTCTCCTTCATTCGATCTGCCAACTACTATAATTGCACATTAAGGCGCTGGCACAACCATACACTTTTGTTCTGTTGTGTTCGTTTGATGCTTTGATTTGTGCTGCAAACAAATCTGGTCCTCTGTAGGGCAGACGTCTGGAAAGGAAGACCCAGCACCAAATAGCTGCATATCGATGTTGGTAACTCGAATTGTGCAAACAGCCACACAGGCAATAGTCCACGTACATATGTATGTAGCTATTTCCATTTGTATACCTGTGTTCGAGGATGAGTTGTAGATGATTTGGCTGGCATTGAGGTTACTGCGATGACATGGACATAATTGAATGCGTGCTCATGGCCTCTTGTAGCTGCCAGATCGATGCTTGCATCCAGCCATCAGTGTACATAACATAATGTAATCAGCGTGATGTGATGGCTTAGGCGGATACCTTTCGTCTTTGTAAATGAGCCCCTTGCCACGCATGCAACATGGCACATGCAGCCTCTGTCTGTCTGCACCAGTCATAGCTGAGCACTTGCGCCGAAACAATAGCAGGACCATTGCCAAGATTAAATTTGCTATTTCCAAAGGTAAACATTTGTACAGAACCAACCAATTTCACTGCGCTGCGATTGTCTTTGAGTAAGAGATTCGCATAGAGGCAAACAATTCGAAAGGGAAAAGCATTGAAGAATGCGGAATATTCAACTACAATTAATATTATTTGCAAGCCACTGAGACTATGTAGCATAGTAGTCTTCCAATGAATTCTAAATCAATCAATGTTCAATCCGATACTCTGCTATAAAAATACGATTACGTAAAGTTTTTTCTTCTTTGCTTTAATTGATTCATATAGGAATGAAATAAGAGGCAATTGTTTGTAGGATTAAATCGATTTGATCGACTTGAAATTACTTATTTTTCACCTGAAGTTAAATATTTCCGTGCTAGGTAGCTCTGAAAATAATAAATAAAATAAAATTCCCTAGCTTCTCTGCTCTAAAGTTTTACTCCGTGACTTCCCAAATTATTTGTCCTTTTGGATTTATTTTATGCCCTTACCTAACAGCTTTAATATGGAAAAAAATAGACTGCTAGCCTCATTGATTACGGGGTGGAGATGCTGCAATTTAATATACATTTGCTTTGATTTGATTTCAGGTAAATTTCACTTCTTTTGTGCCTAATTTGTGTGGAATTAGAAGCAGATTTCGTTGCTGATGTGAAACGTGAAGAGCCGAATTGGAGGCCACTCCAAACAAATTTCAACTTTTCCTGTTGGCCCCCTTAAATGTTCCAGGAAATCCAAACATTGATTTATCTTACAGCGGCCTGTGTGCGTGTTTTTTGTGTGCGTGCTGCTGTGACTGAGGCTGGAGGCTAGCGCCTCCGGTTTAATGCCATCACGTGCTCTCTGCTTGATACCTTACATCTGCTCTCTGGCTGAGCTTTATTTGGGCCTTTTGCACAGGCCACACGGCAAATTTACATAGCATGTTTAAATTATTATTCTGTTGCTCTGGATCTCGTCCTGCCTCTGGCTGCGCCCCACATCGCCGGCAGACATTAATAAATGAATTCAATTCAGATTATTGGCATGCCATTATCGAGTGGATTATGCTTAACATGTTTCATTCCCTTTTCTTGCCGGTGCCATATATCTCAATTGAAATTTGCGGCACATATTTGTGGGGGGTCCTGGCTTACATTGCGTATGCGCAATTAAAATGTGGCAGACGTCAGTTCATGGAAGACGACAATCTGATTGGGGGGCAGTGGTGGAACAAAAGCAACTCCCACTCCACAGGTACGGAAAATTCCCTGAATTGCTTCAGAAAATGTTCCCAGCTGCATAAAGGTAAAGAGAAATACATTGAGAGCAGAGGTCAATGTGGAACACAACAGAGTCCCCACTCTGAATGCTGCAGGCAACAAAAATTTACTTTACTTAAGCAAACAGTAATCAGTAAGCTGCCTTTTGAATGGGCCTTAAGGCATACTCGTATATCCAAAATATACATATGAGTTGAGGGCCTACTTTTGCCTTGAAAATTATGGCAAATTCTATAAACTCAACTCAACATTTTTCGTAGTGTATCGGACAAAGTTGCCCACAACTCCTCCTTGGACTAACAATTTTCTATGAAATTTTAGATGCCCCTCAATGTAAGCAATTTTCACAGCTTTGAAGCCACAGATTTCTGCTTGAATGTAGACATTCAAAGCGTGTTTAGGCAGCCCAGAATGTCGCTCAGTAACGACAGGCAAGTCGGGAAATTGGACCCAGCCAGTCAGTCAGTCAGCACTCATTCCTCTGCCTTTTATTATTATTCCTTTTTCATGGCGATGACCAGGCCCATTGCAGTTGCACTTTGTAGCCATAAATTAGGCATCAATTTGCTCTTAGAATGAAACTTTAAGCCGATTTCCAGTTGTTCAACAGTTTATTGCCAGCAAACGAACAAAGAAAAGCCTTGAAAGTTCCCCCAGCAGCACATAAAATGAAACAGTCAAAAGTAAGGTGAAAGTTGTAGGCGAAAGTTTCACGGCAGAACTTTCTCGACAGCGATTTTCTAATTGAAATATTTTTGCAGTCAGTAACCTTGACAGCAGCATAAGCTGCTTCGGCAGCACGCAAAGGACAATGACACAGTACCACGGCATTCCCATATGAGGAACCTTGAGCCATACAAGAGAAGGCACTCTGGCAGAGCCCATGTCCAGCCATGTTTAATTTGTTTATCACTAAGTTACCAAGGTCAGAGCAAAGCACAGCATACAATTGGGTTGTTCCGGCAACATCTTATTTTCATTTGACTCACAGTTCGGTTCTGGCCCTTTTTTTTTGTCAATTACGAGGCGAGTACTCGTACAAAACATTTGCTGTGCGCTCGTCGAGTGCAAACAAATTATATGCTAAATGTGTAAACATTTTAATTTGCCTTTTCGGCTCATGTTTTGGTATTTGCTCTCCACATAAAAAAGGTTTAAGTACTTCAAAGGGTGGAAGGTACTGAAAAGCTAGTGTGAAAATGTACTCATCTTTTAATGCAAGACTCATCCGACTAGGGCTATTTAATTATGTGCTTTGCGAGTAAATATTATTGCTTTAACTGAGATTTGATGATTAATTATGCTGAATTATCGTGATAGACCTCATGGCGTTCTTACTTATTTTCCGAATAATGATGTGCCTGATTGATTACTTGCCAAGGAGAAAGCTTTGAAAACTCTCTGAATTAAAATGATTTAAAGTAGCCTATCATTGCCACGGCACGTATATACAACTTTTGAAATGTAGTGACTTTTATGTATATTCCAGCAGATGCTCTGCTGTTGGTTGATGATGAAAGGTTCGTCTTTTGGGAAAAGTTATCAGGACCTTCTCTCCCCATGGGTTTACAATTGTAGCAGGGTCAGTAGCCCGAAAAGGTATTCCCCTATATTCATGCAGAGGAACGCAGTAAGGAAACAAATACATTTTTTCCATTTTCGCTTTCCTCCAGCTCTTTAGTAAAAAAAAACGGAACCTGAGCCCCATTTGGCAAAAAAAAAACCCGTCCTTTGAGTGCACTCAGGCAGCATCTGAGTCAACAGAGGAGTAGCAATAGCAATAGCCAATCATCAGCCAACATCAACTGGCATGAGTACAACCAGTAAAAACAAAAGCAGCAGCCCCGGCTAAGGCCTTGGCTGTGCCTGTGCCTGTGAATGAATAAATGCATGCAACCGTTTTTCTGCTCTCACATCACGGACCTTGACAATTATGGGAATTTTTCCAGCTGTTGCTATTTTCAGTTTCAGTTTTGGCATTCTACTCGCATCAGGATATGGCCCCACTCTGTCTGCTACAGTTATTGCTGCTGGTGATGCTTCTGACGCCCCTATTGTTCACCTGCCAGCAGGGGCGTATGCGTAATGCATGCAACAAACCATTTTTGGTCAGTTGAGCGTTGCCAGTGTGTCCGTGGCACCACGTGGGCGTAAGTTATGACAAGACACGAAACGAAATGTGCATAATGAAAGTCATCTTTTTCTTTGAAAAGCGAGGAAATACCCAGGATTTGGTGCCAGCACTTGGTAAGAATTATTAATTGATAAGCTTTTACCAAAAAGAAAATTAACCAGAACTATGGTGTTATATCTTTATTGTGGAGGCTGCTAAATCAGGCTGCTGCTGCTTATTTGCGTGGTATAATGCGATTACGGGTGAAATGTAACCTCTGCTCCTGCTGTCTTAATTGGACTGAGGCCAGAGTGTTTAGCACGAAAAGCCATCGAACATTCGAGGTCAGAGTCATGTCCATTTCCGTTCTTAGTCTTAGAGGCTTATGATGTCAGAATTTCCATTCGGTTTGTATTGGCCATGGCCGGAACATAATTTTCCAGAGTCTGCTGTACTTATGGATTTTAATCTGCCTTCCAGGCCATTTACCCGCCTCCCCCCCCCACACTGTTTATCGCTTTAATTATGGCAGAGTTCACTGCCGAATTCTGTTGAAGTCCGATTTGAAGTTCACCATTCAATTTGATTTACTGCTGAATGCTGTCTGGCATTCACTGCTTTCCACCCAAAGAGCAACTAAATTATGGCTAAGGGCACGCAGGGCATCCATCTGTTGCCATTCACAGCAGGAGTGTCGAAACCAAACGGCTATTAATGCACTTCAATTTCATTTGGTTGGACACCTGTTAAGCCACATGTAGAAATTGAAGCGTGCTGTCTGCACGGGTTTCACCCGGAGCGAGGTGACAGACCGCCACTCATTGGCAGTTATTTGTATTTGACACCACCCTTTGAACCCTTATTAAATGCTTTTCCGATTCGAGTTAAATTTATATTTACACAATTATTCAATCACGCACCTGATTGCTGCACCTGATTGCAGCTGTGGCAATGTGGCGGCGTAAGTACAGTACCAATACAAAAATTGTAAAATAAACGTTTTTTTTACACATTTTTCCA